TCTATCTATCTATCTATCTATCTATCTATCTATCTATCTATCTATCTATCTCTCTCTCTCTCTCTCTCTCTCTATCGCTCTATCGCTCTATCTCTCTATCTCTCTATATCTCTATATCTCTATTGTTGTTAGAAAATGGACTGGCTCAGTAGGAGGAGACCTGTTCTCTATTAATAGGAAGTTACTGAGTTTAAGGTTATTTTTAGTTACATAGTGAGTTCAAAGCCAGTGTGGGGGAACATCAGATTGACTGTCTTAAACAAAAACTAAAAAGAGAAATAACAACAAAGTAGAAACAAAGAAACGATCTGCGATCTGGGCAGGATGACCCAGTACTGTATTCCTAGCTTTTAGGAGGTTGAGGCAGAAGGATGGAGCACTTGGGACCAGCCTGGACCACATAGGGAGAAGAGCTTGTCTCAAAAGGCAAAGCCAAACCAAACAAACACTGAAATAATATTTTGTTCCAGGGAACTGACTTTGATGGAATGTGTGTGCACAGTTCTTTGACACTTCACGTGAGGAATGTTATGATCTTTTTCTAGAGACCTTGCTTGGTAATTTAATATCTGTCCCATCTCCATCTTATCTGCCAGTTGTCTTATTTGAGTTGATGTTTCTGATGTTTGCTATGGTGAGAATTTCTTTTTCTAAAAATTAAGTTCGGAAATTTGGTTTATTATACTATAAGATTATCTTATTTTAAGGGGGACGCCTCTTTGTTTCTGGCAGTTTGGGGTCAAAGTGCAGGTTTTCCACTTGGCCTTTCTTGACACCTAGTTGGAAAGGGTCTCTGTGTTAGTGCTGGGTGGGAAGGACCTAGGGCCCTGTAGCTTGCTGGGGTAGCTGGGTGACCTAGGTTAGACCAGCTCTGTCACTGAGCATCACTTCCAGCCCAAGGTCTGTGTGTCTTTATTGCTTAGATTCCCTTGCCTGTCACATTATTGTTAAAAGAAGTACCATCTCTTCCCCCTACTTCCTTCCTCTCTCCTACCTCTCTATCCTCCCCTAACCCCACTTCCTCCCTGCCACCAAAATTTAGCTTTGTTATGACCTGGGCTCACAGTACTTAGAGTTAATTTTCTGGGAGAGGTAAGATTTACTCTGTTGTCATTTAATGTCCTCCTTTATTTCCTGTTAAGTCTTAGGCTTTGTGTGTGTGTGGCGGGGAGCAGACATGGCTTTTCTTTCTTGTTTTCTTTTTCTTTTTTCTTTTCTTTTCTTTTTTTTTTTTTTGGCTTTTCTTTTTCTTTTGGTTCATGTTTTGTCCTCAGATTCTTGGCAAACGAGTGATGTCATGAGTTGTAGGATCTTTTTTCCTTCACCGCTCACAGTCTGTTATATTGGCTTGACAGTTTAATCTGAAATTTATACATAATTAAGCTCGTTCTTGCCAGAGGATAAAATAACTCTGTATCGTTTTCTTTTTTTAGAAAAATATCTTATGTGGCTGGTATCTTGCTTGCAATGTATACCTGTGTACCACATTAATTTCTTGCTCACAGAGGTCAGAAGAGGGTGCCAGATTGCCCTGGATCTGTAGTGACAGCCCTGGTTGTGAGCCACCCTAATGGGTGCTGGGAATAAAACCTAAGTCCTCTGCAAGAGCAACAAGTCCTCTTAACCACTGAGCCATATTTCCAGGCCCTTCTTGTGTCTTCTGTTTTCACCATTACTTCATGATCCTCTTCTGAGGAAAATAAATAAAAATAAAAAAGACACCCAATTCACTCTTAATATGCTGTTTTAATTCTGTCCCTGTAATAATTTGAGATGTCAGAAGATCTACTTTTAGTAACAATTTATATGCACACTTACTTGTTTTGAAATAATGTTTTACACTTATTTATTATTACTAGTATTATTGGTGTGTGTGTGTATACTCGTGCCACGGCGTGTACAGAAGTCCAAGGACACGCTGATGGTGTCAGTTTTCTCCTTGTACCACATTGGTCCTGGAGGTTAAACTCATGTCATCAGGGCTTGGTGGCAGACACCTTCACCACGGAGCCATCTTGCCAGTCCTGGAATAATTTTTAAGATAAATCTGCAGCAAAACTGGTATCTTACAATTGGAGAGAGGTCTGCAGTCGTATTCACTTTAGGTGTCTGCTGTGGAAGTGATGGCTGCTCAGACTGCAGCCGACGGGCTTCGTGCAGCTGCCTGCTGCCTCGGAAGGCAAGGCCGGCTGACACAAAGTCACAGACGCGCTTATCTCAGCCCTGCAGTTCGAAACTGTGAGCTTTGTCAAGGACAGCTTTGTGTAGCAGCGTCAAAAGCTCCAACCTGCTGGGGTAAATGGATCTGCGAGTAACAGGCCAGAATGCTTTTGCTTGAATTTGTTCTGTTCCCTTCCTTCCCACCCCCGTAATTGAAAAGCCAATGCTTAGTAGCTGAAAACAACAGCCGCTGTGGTCCGGCTGCCCAGGGTTTAGCTGTGCCCTGCTTTGGCTGACTGTCTCAGGCCCAAACATGGGGTGGTCCATAAGGCTTTGGCTGGAGCTGCTGCTTGGGGTTCTGAAGGGCTGCTTAATAGGTCTGTGTTAGGCTTTGGTACATTTTCACCACCCCTGACTTCCGATGGGTTAGGACCCTACCTGTGCCTTGTTGCTCTTATGACTTGTTCTACAGAGCATCATTAAATCTGTACCTTTATTCTCTCTGGTGCTCCTTTAGAGTGATTTCTAAAAGATGACTTATTGGATGAATCCCTTGTCACAGTGTCTCCGGGTTTCTCCCCAGAGTGGTTCCACCTTGCTGCCTCTTAAATGTTCAGGCATGTTTTCAGTGTGGCGTTCCCTGTGCTTAATGTTACTACCAGGTCCCGCTGTGTCCCTGTTGAGTGTCCATGTGCGTTATACAGCCCTGCAGCCCTGCGTGGGAGCTGGTGGCATGTGTCCCTTCCTTTCATGGTGAGAACACTTCCTGCAGGGCAGCTGGCTGGGAAGTACTCAGCTCCACATGCAAAGGGGACTTCACTTTGTAACGCTGACACACTCCTAGGATGGTTAGGTCATAGCAGAAAGATCACGTGCCCTCCCTTTTGAGGGACACACAGGATTTTCATGGTGGGGTTCTGAGGAGCTTCAGTTGGCACTCCTGTTAATTTGCAGTGGTGCCTGTTTCTTCACCAAATATACATTAAATTCCTCAGGAGGTTCTGTCGGTATAGTTACAGAATCAGGCTTACGTTAGAATGATGTGACGTAGTTTGAATACTTTCCAAAGTCACAATAAGTATCAGTAGAGTAGAATATTAACAGGACACACATTTCTCTGGAGCTCACTGGTGACAGCTGCGAGGGTGCAGAGCCTGGCTCTGTCTCTGGGAAGCAGCATGACCTTGATTGAGGTAGTGGTACCTACCTGATAGGCTTCTATGAGGACTCAGTGACCCTGCTCACGAAAAGCAGCAGAGTGCTCAGTAACTCTATGTGCTGCTTGTCTTAGTGATTTGCATGTCCCTTCCCTTAGAGAAGAAGAAGATTTACATTTTCTGACCTGGGAGCTGTTGCCAGTTCTGTTGGTGGACTGGTTCTAATTCTTTGTGAAAAATACATCAATGCAAGTATGAAGGGCCGGTGGACATTGAGAACATGTCCCCACTTTTGCCTGGTAGTCAGAGCACGTTTCCAAGGAGGGGATGTTATTCCACAGAGGCCTGATGATGATGAGGAATTGAAGGGAGCCCCAAGGGTAACCAGGCATTAGGAGCATCAGTGTGAATGAAATCTTTGTTAAGTGTTTCAAAGTTATTGGATGTTAAATTCTGAGTGATTATTTATTTTTTAAGTAAAGTTGCAAATATGTACTGTTAAGATCCTCTGTGATATGGTTGTTTGAATATTGTATTTCTCTTTTTGCAACAGATGCTGGTCCATAAGCTTGCAGTTTTTCATTTTAATTGGAAGTTACAGTCCCCGACTCTATAATTAGACTATGTATCTAAGAACTATTTGATGTCACTTTATTAAAATGACTTGGGAGCATAGACACATTATTTTTTCCATTTCCCTTCCTCTTCTCTGTTGTTTGCTCCTCCTATGATGTATTTTGCAGTCGACATGTGGGTGTGGTCCATAACATCAGCTGGTTTCCTAAGGGCTTTCTCCAGGTGAGGCCGATTAATTCCATTGCTTCTGTGCAGCTTAAAAGCAGCTCCCTTGCATTACGCTGAGATGACACCGGAGAAGAGTTGTTTGTTTCTCTGTTACCTCGTGTGCTCATCACGTCCTCTGTGGGCGTCCCCACTCCAGGTACAACCTTAGCCGTCACCATTGACTTGTACAAACATACAGATCCTGTTAACTGTTCCTGCCAACTCAGATAACACAAGGAGAGTGAAAGAAACAATTTTTTTTTCCCTTCAGGTATCGCCATCAGAGAATCTGCAAAGGTAGTTGATCAAGCCCAGAGGAGGGTGTTGAGAGGCGTTGATGACCTTGACTTTTTCATAGGGGATGAAGCCATTGATAAACCTACCTATGCTACCAAGGTAAAGTTGTGCCAGGCGGTGTGCTTGTGTAAGTGCACAGCCAAGGAGAGAGCCTAGAATGACTGAGGAAAACGATAGGTTGTCTGGAAATTGTGCCTGTGGGTTGTGGAATGTGGCTTCATTCTAAGGTGAACAGAGGGGTTGTTTTTGAAGAGGTGGATTTTTGAGTGAAGAATCAAGTGGGTTAACACAGCCCTGAGTCGCACAGTTGTCAGCAGTGTGAGCAAGATCTGCCCTTCAGGAAGTTGCAGGTTGACTAATGCACCTGTCAGACCTGGAAACTTGCAGACTGTATAATGTAGAGGAAGCACTAATATTAAAGCAGGTAATTCTTTTAAAAATAATCCAAATTCATACAAAGTGATGGATTGCATTATGACATTTTCACACACACATGTCGCTTTACTTTGTTCTTATTCACCTACACTTCCTCTGATGACCTCATGACCTCTCTTATCTACCTGCCCACCCTTGCTGGTTCCCCTGTTCCCTCCAAAGAGTCCTCCTCCTGCCCTTGTGACATTTGTATTCCATTGTTCTCTTTTTCTCCTTCCTCCCTTAAGATTACTTCCTTCCCACTCATGGTATCCTTTTTGCTTTCATTCAACACATATACACACACATACAGAAAAAGAAAGAGAGATAAAGAGAGTGACTGATTTAAATCTAGGTTCCAAATATGAGAGAAAATATGCAGTATTTGTCTTTCTGAGTCTGGCTTATTTTATTTACTATAATAGTCTCCATTTGCATCTATTTTCCCTGCAGTTGTCATGATATCAGTTTTTTTTTCTTTTTAGTTACATTTTGTTGATATCAGTTTTTTAATGACTAAATAAATTTCCATTTGTGTGTGTGTGTGTGTGTGTGTGTGTATTTAAAAAATATATATTACATTTACAAAAAATCCATTCATCTGTTGATAGACATCTAGCCTGGCTCCATTTCTTAGCCACTGTGAGCACACAGCAGTCACCGTGGATGTGCCTATATCTCTGTGATTTATTGACTTGGAGTCCTTCAGGTTTATACCCCTGTGTGGTCTTCCTGGGCTATACAGAAGTTCTGCTTTTAGTTCTTTTTAGGACCCTTCACACTGACCTCTATGATAGTTGCATCAGTTCCATCAGCAGTGTGTAATAGTTCCTGTCTCTCCACCTCTTCACCAGCAAAGCAAGTCTTTCTTCTGTAAAAAAACAAACGGGCCAGAGGGAGTTGCATGGCAGATGAGTCCTGTCTGCCTGCTGCCATCCAGGTAGTCCTGTGTACTTAGAGGTGATGCATAGTACAGAACTAGTTTTCTGTCAAAGTATGTTTTTCCTATGAGAGTCCCCTTGAGCTTCCCACCAGGAGGCTTTTATCCTGTTGGGCCATGCAGCCTCCTTTGTGCTTGTTGGGTGAAGCTGTTGCTTGTATCCTTTTGCTGCAGTGGCCTATACGTCATGGCATCGTTGAAGACTGGGATCTTATGGAAAGGTTCATGGAACAAGTGGTCTTTAAGTATCTTCGTGCTGAACCCGAAGACCACTATTTTTTAATGGTGAGTAGTTAGAACTAAAAGGATATACTCCTGTGAATTCCAAATTACTTAGATTTTTACACACAGAGTCCTTCTAAAAGCTTTGCCATGATTCAGTCTGCTTTGGGAGCAAATATCAGAAGGATCAATAAAAGCATCCAGAACCTAAAAGGCTTCCCACCCTGCAGAGCAGGAAGGCCAGAGCCTAGCTGCCCTGGACTGCTTGCTTCAGCAGCTTGGAGGTAGACGCGTCTTTTAGTGTGACATCTTCTGCTGGCTGTCTGGTGTCCCAGGATGGTTGTGCAGCTTTCTGTGCCACCTCTTCAGAGTCTTCACACATTCCTGCTCAGTAGTAGAGGGGAAGGATTTCCTGTAACTTAGAAGCTGCTCTTAGGAACCTCCCCAGTGGCTTTGCCCCATGTGCCTAAGCTGTCCATGGGTCTCTCAGACTTGGAGGAGGGTTAGTACTGTAACCGCCAGCACAGTGTCCAGAGAAGGAGGCCTGGTTGGGAAGTCCTGGTGTCCTCTTGTATCCTTGAGAAGTAACTGGACACCGTGACTATTATTCTGTTATAGCAGAGAAACCTCAGCCAAGAGGTCATTTTCTCAGTGTTTAGATCTTATTGTAAAAGGAAACTGAGCTGAGTTAGGGCTTTGATTATGGTATTAAGTATTGTGTCAAACAAAACAGCGTAGAGAAATGAGAAGAAATACCTCCTGGGATCTATGAGATATAATTGTTCTATTTAGCAGAATGTTTCCTTCCGTGGAATATTCTTTTCACATTAAAAGTAGTCTAATGTTTAAAATGCTTGCTTCTTAAATAACAACTCTGTACAACACAAGATGCATATTAAAACTTACATGAATTAGCTTTGGGTTTTTCTGTCAGGCATATTGTCAAATGGTTCTATATCTGATTATAATTTTTTCTAATGTTACTACATATGCTCTTCAGAATTGCCTGGTTTAGAAGGTGGTAACTACAAGGCTAATAGCTATGGAGTCTATCAAGGAACTTCTTTGAAGGTGCTCTGACCTCTCCCTCAGGTGTATTTTTGAATTCAGAATGTTAAGTGTGGCTTCTGTGTTTTACAGGCCTCAGTATCCCCTCTCCCGAACACGCGCAGTGGTTGTATTAAATAAACAAAGCCAGGAAACTGACAGCGTGTGAGTTATTCTGTCTGTGTGGCCAAAACACGTCTGAGATCCCACCTGCCAGGGCTGGCACTTCTCCTGCTCTAGCTTATCACCAACTACCTGTTGGCTAGATTTTAGGGCCAGGCACCGCGCCCAGCTGCTTCCTTCTGCCTGCTTCAGCTTACTGTGCCAGGACCTCTCCTCTGCCTAGTGGGCATCTAATCTAAGGCCAGTGGAGGAAGTGCAGGGACATGCCACAGGACATGCTTCCTGGAAACAAAATGACAACAGCAGCAACAACAAAACCCTCCAACCCCCCAAACAGAAAGCCACCCAGATTTTCTCTGTCTCTTAGTCTCTATTTTCCTCCTCCTCTTTTCTTCTTCATCCCCTTCCTTCTCCATCCTCTCTCTCTCACATACTCACCCTTTCCCGGTTTAGCTGGCGTGTGTGTGTGTGTGTGTGTGTGTGTGTGTGTGTGTGTGTGTATATATATATACATATATATATATATATATATATATATGAAAAATCAACATTTGCCAGGAAGAAATAGGAGGTAAGCCCATTTGCTAAAAATGGGCACCTATGGTGAATTTAAAAAAATTCAACTTTATTATTAAAATATAAAAAAATATTGTGTTACACACACTGCACTTTGAATTCTGTAGGTTAGTTTGTTGTTCTGTAAGTTAGTATGGTTGAGTTATGTGTTTTTGTATGTAGGTATGTATACGTGTGTGTGTGTGTGTGTGTGTGTGTGTGTGTATGTGTGTGTATGTGTAGGTGCCCACAGAGGCCAGAAGAGGGACTTGAATCCCCTGGAGCTAGAGTTGCAGACATTGTGAGCTGCCAGACAAGTGTGCTGGGAAACAGACTTAGGTCCTCTGTGAGATCAATCTTAACTGCTGAGATAACTTTCTAGCCCCTCCACCTCATTTTTAGTGTGAAATATTACACTTACATATTTGCTGTGGGGGTGTGGGGGTGTGGGGGTGTGGGGGTGTGGGGGTGTGGGGGTGTGCGGGTGTGGGGGTGTGGGGGTGTGTCTGTGTAGGTCACAGAGCAGCTTACCAGAGCTGGTTCTTTCTTTTTTACCGTGTAGACTCTAAGTCAGGGTGTTAGTCTTTGTGAAGTGCTAGCCATTTTGCTGGCTCTCACCATTAGTTTTGAGACTGCCTCTCCCAGTGATCTGCTTTCCACTCTGCTACATGGCTGTCCAGAAAGCAGCATGGATCCTGTGTCTTGCCTCTCAGGTGTGCTTGCTCACATACCTGACTTTTTACGTGAGTGCTGGGGGTTTGAACTCAGGACAGGTGTGGCAAGCGCTTCACCAGCGGAGCCATCCCCCAGCCTCAGGCCTCTGTTCTTTGCCATCAGTTTCTGGAATTGAGAGGACGGAAGCAGATGTAGAAGGAAATGGAGACATCTATGTGCTGTCTTAGGTGAGGACTTTTGGGTTTAGTGTGCTTAAGACTTCAATGTGTGCAAGTCCTAAGTGACTCATATTACCAGCTCTTAGGAACTATCCTTGACTGTTGTACATTGTACAGAGTGAGAAGAAGCTGCTGACGCCATGTTTTCTAGATGGTTTAGAGACTCACACTGGCTTCGTGATCTGAGCTGGTGGTAGATGGGAATCCTGTGCCCGTCCAAACACTGAACTGCCCAGACCTCAACACACAACTCTATCTTTTGAGATACCCCATATCCCAGACTGGCCTGGACTCACTTCGTAGTACAGGCTGGCTTCCACTCATGGCAGTCCTTCTGCCTCACTCCCCTGGTGTTGAAATAAGGAGTATGAACCACAAGCCACCACATTTGCCAGAACGATGCTTTAAAGAGTTTTGGTGTTGTTGGTATTCTGGGAGTTGAACCTCAGGCCCTGAGGCTTGTACAGTAAGCAGCCCATGGCCTCAGTGTGTCGTAGTGCCCACATGCCCTGCTTTTTTCTCATTTTGAAACAGGGCCTAAAGTTGCTGAGGTTGGGCTTGAACTCTATGAGACCTTGTCAGGCCTCAAAATTGTGATCCTCCTGCCTTAGCCTCAGAAGCAGCTGGGACCACAGTCATGTGCGGCTGACCTGGTCACAGTGATCTGGAGTGGAAATCTAGTTGGAACTTGAGAAGGGCTCTTTCAGACTCTACGAATTCAGTTCACACAAAAGCAAGCAACACCAGCAGCAGTGAGACTCCATGGTGACCTTAAGGTGTGGTGACTCGTGTGATGGTGGTGGAGGGTCAGGAAGGGTGATGTGTGGCCACGGGGTGGTGTTGGAGGTGGAGCTGTGTGGCTGGGATGGTGATTTTGAGAGTGGAGAGACCAGTATGACAGGCATTGACTCTGTGTGTGCGTACTCTGGTGCAGCAGTGGGTGTTGCTTTTCAGCTGTTAGCCACCTATTTGTGTGTGTGTGTGTGTGTGTGTGTGTGTGTGTGTGTGTGTCTGAGAAAGATAGATAGATGGAGGGAGGGAGAGAGAGATTGATTGATTCTGTTACTGTTCTGAAACTTACCAAGTAGCCCCCGCTTGGCCATCAAGTTCAAGGGATCCACTTGTCTCCATGTTCCCAGCTTTGGCATTACAGGCACGTGCCACTGCACACACCTGCCTCTGCTTCCACTTCTGCCTCTGCTTCCTCCTCCTCCTCCTCCTCCTCTTCCTCCTCCTCTTCTGTTAGATTTTTGGTTAGCAAACAAAGAAATGGATGTTTTATACATCTGTGCCATGCTCTGAAATTCCTTGGATTGTTAATGTTCTTAGGTAGGGTTTCTATTGCTGTGATGAAACACCGTGACTAAAAAGCAAGTTGAGGAGGAAAGAGTTTATTCGGCCTACACTTCCACAGGACTGTTCGTCACTGAAGGAAGTCAGGACAGGAACTCACACAGGGCAGGAACCTGGAGGCAGGAACTATTGTAGACGCCATGGAGGGTTGTTATTTATTGGCTTGCTCATCATGGTGTTCTCAGCCTGCTTTCTTTTCCCTTCTTGGGTTTTTTATTCTTCTTTCATATATTACACTCTGACTGCAGTTTCCCCTCCCTTCCCTCTCTCCCCTTCTCCCAGTCCTTACCCCACTCCCCCAGATCCAACCTCCCTCACCTCTCCTCAGAAAAGAGCAGGCCTCCCAGGGACATCAACCAAACATGGCGTAACAAGCTACAATAAGACCAGGCTCATACCATCACATGAAGGATGGAAGAGGCAATCCAGTAGGGGAAAAAGGATCCCACAAGTAGGCAAAAGAGTCAGTGACTCCCCCCCCCCGTCACTCCCCTGCCACTGTCAGGATTTCCTCAAGAACACTAAGCTACTTAGCTATAATATATGCTAAGGACCTAGATCAGACCCCCACAGGCTTCCTGATCTCTCTGAGCCACCATGAGTCCCTGTTAGTTGCTTCTGTGGGCTGTGTGCTGGTGTGTCCATGACCCCTCTGGTTCTTCCAATTCTTTCTCCCTCTTATTCGAAGAACTTGCTGAGTGTCACCTGATGTTTGGCTGTGGCACTCTGCATCTGCTCCCATCAGTTGTTGGATGAAGTGTCTCTGGTCTCTTTGATAATGATTCTGCTAGGCTCCAGTCCCAGAACAGTCTGCAGGCAGGACAAACTTTAGGTGGAAGGTTTTGTGGCTGGGTTGGTGTAAGCATTACTTTTTACACTATTTTATTTTGGTTTCTTATTCCTCTTCCTCCCTTCTTCACCCTAATCCCCTCCAACACTCTTAACACCAGGTAGGAGAGAAGGAATGTTAGTGGGGAGAGGGGTGTAGTTATTGTAGGCTACTTCCTGCTGGTTAGGGTCATCGGGTTCCTTAGGGCAAGTCCAATCTTTGTTTCAAGATATTTCCAACTTCTTTTCATCCAGCTGCATCAACAGCATCCAGGGCAGCAGGGGGGAAGCACCAGCAGCCTTCTTCCTTTTTTGGAGCCTCCTTTCTCTCTGTGGGATCTGGCGTTTATTCCCTCTTAGAGTACTCAGAATTAAACTATCTACAGCTGGCAAAGAGCCCCTCTCAGGGCCCGCATGAGGCGAAGGGTTGGCTGCTGTGGACCTTCTGAATCTGTCCTACATCCCACACCTGGGATTAAAACAAAAACATGTTTACACATCAGAAACCAAAAATTCTACAACAGGTTGGTGTCCTAATCCCCCCACTTGAGGCCTTGCTGGTTACAGAAGATGGCTGGTCCATCAGCCTACTTTCTTATAGAACCCAGAACCACAAGAGGAAGGTCCCTCCCCCATCTATATTAATTAAGAAAACACAGTACAGTCGAAGTCCATAGAGTCATTTCTTATATCGAAATCCCCTCCTTTCAGGTAATCCTAGCTTGTGTCAAGTTGACATAAAAGTAGCCAGCACATTAATGGTGGTTTAGGCAAGCCCTCACCCAGTTCAGTGGCCACTAGCCAGCACACAGATGGGCTGTATGGGTTTACTTGGGCTGTTCTGGTCCACCACCTTCAAGCTTCTAGCTATCACCGACTCACCTGCTCTCTTTTCATTGCGTGTTTATATTTTAAAATTTGTTTCTTGGGTAGGTGAGGTGTCTCAGTAGGTAAAAGTGCATTCTGTGCAAGCTTGATGACCTGAGTTTGGTCCCCAGGACCCACAGTGAGAGAAGAACAAAGATTCCCAAGAGTTATCCTCTGACCTACCCTGGGGTGTGTGACACTTGTGTGCTTGTGCTCATGTGCACACACACACCAGTAATCACAAACATTTCTTTACTGCAGTTATGGAGGGGTTTGAGGGTAAAACTAATTCTACAGACGTGCATTCAGTTTTCTAACTCATGGAGAAATATAGGTTATTTATTAATTATTCATTTTACATCAGCACCAGTTGATACTCTAATTATTGCTATAATTACAATGCCCATGTAATTTGCTTTTATATGATGTTCCAATCATATGTTTCACTATTAAGACAATAAGAAAACTTTGATCTTGTGTAATGGTTTGGGAATGTTTTAGTTAAGTGTGTCTTCCAAAGGAACACTTCCTGTACCTTTGGTGATAGACACAGAAGAAGTGGAAGGCCAAGGAGGAAATGGGTTATGAAGTCATAGCTTTAGGAATATCGACTTTGATTCTGGAGCCAAGAGAATCTGACTACGTAACAAATATTGCCTGAAGTAGAAGTAGAGAGTTTAATTCTTCAAAGCCGGTAAAACACTGTGACCAAAGGCCACTTAAGGAAAAAAGCTTATTTTGTCCTAAGGTTCCAAAGAGTCTGTCACTGGCTGGGAGGCATGGAAGCAAGGTCCAGGCATGGTGACAGCTGCAGGAAGCTGAGAGGTCACATCTTCAATTACAGCCTCGAAGCAGAGAGCGAACAGGAAGTGGGACAAGGCTATAAAATTGCAAGGCCCACTCCCAGTTGATGTATTTCCTTCTGCAAGGCCACGTCTCCTAAAAGCCAAAAAGCATCACCTATGGGGTCCAAGTGTTCAAATGCACGAGCCTATGGGAGACATTTCTCCTTTGAACCGCCAGCACCCATAGTCATTATCATAGCAGCTGGAGTGGGCTCGCACACTCAGCAGCCGGTTCCTGTGTGTTTTGTTCCTGTTTTCAGACACTGCCTGCTGCTTCTGCTTTCTAAGAAACAGTATAACCCTTGTGGGTACAGGTACACAGGCTGTTTGGTTGTTGTTTTCAGACAGGGTCTCACCATATATGTGGCTCTCGCTGGCTTGGAACTCTCTATGTAGAACAGGTTGCCCTTAAACTCACAGATCTGTCTGGGTCTGCTCCTGAGTGCTGGGATAAAAGGTGTGTGCCACCATGTGCATGGCTCTAGGTACCATTTTATTCTATGTATAGAGCATTCTTTTCTTCATGTAAAATTTTTGATTAAAATATACCTGTTTCCCTCCATTCCTTTCCTCCCTCCAACCCTTCTTGTGTTCTCTTGCTCCAGCCCTTTAAAGTACCCCTCACTCTCTCTCAAATTCATTACTTCTTTTATTATTATTATTACTACTGCTACCACCTATGTAAACACATAGATATATAAACATAACCCGCTGAGTCTGTTTAGTGCTGCGTGTGTGTACATGATTTTAGGGCTGACCGCACGGCATTGTATACCCATTGGGGGACTCACCACTGGGAAAATCTAATTTTTTTCTCCCTCTCAGCAGTGGCGCATTGCTCGTCAGGAGGTACAGCCTCAGGAAATTTCCCCTTCCACATCGGCCTGTGTCCTGGTGTTGTCCGTTTTGTTTAGGCAGCCGCATTGTTTCAGTGTCCTGGGTGAAAACACTTCCCTGTCCTTTCTAGGAGATTGTTTTTCAACTTCAAAGCGGCCTTCCTGGCCTGGCTCTTATAATCTTTCTGTCCCTTCTTCTTTGATGCTCCCTGAGCCTTAGGTTGCAGGTATACTTGTTGTGGCCGGGCACCCCCTGATCTGGTATTTTTGTCTGTGTATGTTTTGACCAGTTGTGGTTTTCTGTTATGGTCTCTGTCTCCTGCAAAGGACAAGCCTCTAGTGAGAGACAGATGATGTCTTGTTAGGGTTTCTGTTGCTGAGGTGAAACAGCATGACCAGAAAGCAAGTTGAGGAGGAAAGGGTTATTCTGCTTACACTTCACAGCACTGTATTTCTGTTTCATAAAGATCTGTACTCATAGCCTGAGGGTGATTTTATGCAGTGTTTTCAGTGTACCCGTGTGTTGACTGGTACCTGTCATGTATGATCACTGTGACGTCTGGTGCCCAGCGTTTCAGAGTTGGAGCACCGTGGGCTGCTTTCCCTGTGTGATGTGGGTTTTGTCTCCTTTTGTGTTGTGATTGTCTTTCTCTTGCTCTTTATTTTAGCATTTTTACATAATAATGTCTGTTAGCATTTGCTTCCAGTGCATGTGTGAGTGTGGCCTGGGGGACATGGTGGCCATCTTGGAGTGTGGTGGGCTGAGCCTGCCGCTGCTGCTGTGAGGGCCAGGTGGGAGGAAGCTTGAGCTGTGAGTCCTCACTCTTGGCTGTATTCTGCTGCCTTTGGCATCCTGCACCGTGGTTCCCAGCTTCACGGTGGTTAAGTCTAATGTAGGTGATGAGCAAGCTGCTCCTTTTCTGTGAGTTGTTGAACTTTGAACTTTGGGTGATTCCTGAGAGCAGAAACTGCACAGAGGTCTTCACTCTGCCTTGTCAAAGCTCTTAAGACCCACAGTACAATACCTGTAACTGGTCACCTTCAGTGACCCCTGTCTTTGCAGCTAGGGAATTCTGTAATACCATGGGCAGGCTCCTTTAGGTCAGCCTTTTTATAGTTGTGATGTAGTTATAGGAAATGTGAGGGAACACTAAATCTAATGTTTTCTTACAGACAGAACCTCCACTGAACACACCAGAAAACAGAGAATACCTTGCAGAAATCATGTTTGAATCATTTAATGTACCAGGACTCTACATTGCAGTTCAGGTAAAAAAAAAAAAAAAAAAAAAAAAAAAGTATTATCTTTGTGATTCTGACAGGGTAAGAAGCAGTAACCCAAAAGCCCTTTCAGCCTGGGCTAGACTCCTCTCTGCCCTCTCGGTGTGCACCCTATCACCAGGCTCTTCAGGTTTGAGTCAGAGCACCACCAAGAATCTAGTCTGTAATTTATTTTTATACAATGCCCACGGATCCAAAATTAGTCTGGCTCTACAGTGTTCCTGTGCATAGTCCTGTGTGTTTTTATTTGCACAAGTTAGAGATGTAGGTGTGTTTTTGTTTGTTTGTTTGTTTGTTTGTTTAGCTTCTTACACTTACTTTGGGTTGGAATTTTGAGGTTGGTTGGAGTTTTGAGGAGTAATTGAGATATATCTTTCTCCAAAATTTCCCACATAATATTACTTCCTCCTAAGAAACATAGGGAAATGCATTTTGGAGGTGCTATGTACTGTTAACACAAAAAAGGTTCCACCCATTCCCACAGAAGAAATCTGTTAATTATTTTTCTTTTTCGCCCTTTTTTGTGGTTTTTTTTTTTTTTTTTTTTTTTTTTTTTTTTGAGACAAGGCTTCTCTGTGTAGCTTTGGTTGTCCTGGAACTCACTCTGTAGATCAGGCTGGTTCTGAACTCACAGAGATCCATTTTGCCTCCTGAGTGCTGGGATTAAAGGCATGTGCCACCACCATGCAGATGAAATCTATGGTTCTATTCTCTCTCAAGACATATATATATAATATAGAATAGGGAAGTACTCAGAAACACTGTACTCAGATGATGAGGATGATGATTTAGGCAAAGTCTTACTCTGTAGCCTTCCCTGACCTCAAACTCAGCATGAGCCTCCTGTCCCAACCTCTTGTGTGCCCTGATAATGGGTGTGTGTCATCAAACCCCACAAGAACTAATGGTTGTTAAGACGGTCTGTATGCCAGCTTTACCCACGTGCCTTTTAAAAATTTAAGTTCCTGTGTTCCAGCTTGGCCTGGCTTTGGGCTGGACGGTTGCTTGCTGTGCCGTGTCCTGTGCATTGTGCAGCAGCAGCCGCCCCAAGAATTCTCGCTGTGAGCAGTGGCAGAAGTGGACAAATGTTTGGTGCCTCTGGCTGAGAACAGCAATCTTGTATCCAGCGGACTAGAACTTCTGGATGGGAGGCCTCTCCACCTGCTAGAGGAGGTGTGGCTCACTTGCCCATCACAGAACCCCGGGTTTCATCCCAAGCACGATATAGACCTGGGGATGGTGCACATCTGCATTCCTCATACTCTGGAGTTAGAGGCAGGGAGATCAGGAGTTCAAGGCTATCCTTGGCTATACGACAAATTTGATGCCAGCCTGGGTTACATGAGACCCAGCCTCCAACCACAAGCAAACTCCCAAACAAACAAACAAACAAACAAACAAACAAACAAAACCTCCATGTGTACCAGTGTGCCTTGTTTGTGGTTGCACGTGGAAGATCGGTAGATTAGAAGTTAAATCTTGTGATTTAGCAGTAGAATTCCATTTGATTAGTTTTTGTTTGTAAAACTTTATATGTTCTTGTTGAAAACTCTACTCCATTTGAAGTGAAAACTGGCATGCCAGTTGGCTAAGTGAGAATTGTAATTTGGAAGATGTGGGGTAGGGAAAAGGAAGTTTCTCAGACTTACTAAGGAAGTAAGAGTTTCCCTGCAGAATGGGAGACCAGCTGAGCAATGGCTTCCAATCTTTCTGGATGCTGTGTCTCTCCTCAGTGTCTGTTCAATGTCTCTCTCCAGGCAGTGCTGGCTCTGGCGGCCTCTTGGACATCCCGGCAAGTTGGTGAACGCACACTGACAGGGATAGTCATAGACAGTGGAGATGGTGTCACTCATGTTATCCCAGTGGTAAGCAGGGGTTCCTACTTTACTCTCTGAGGCTAACACCTGATCTGAGGTAAGGAAAAAAAAAAGAGAGAAAAAGGTGAAACAAAGCTCAACCCCCTCTAATTGAGATGCTATCATTTATGTTATGTACTGGAAAAATGGCAATGCAATCTTCCTTCCTTCCTTCCTTCCTTCCTTCCTTCCTTCCTTCCTTCCTT